AGCCACAGAGCGCTGTATAGGGAGAATATAGTTATCCTTGAAAATGATGGCCTCAGAAAGCAAGGTGTTATACCAGCTATGAATTAATAACAGTCTTGACTAGAAGGTTTTTTTTTTTTTTTTTTTTTAATCTAAAAGGATTCAGGAGGTAGTAGTTGGTTCAGTAGCACAAAGATGAACATATTTGCATTCTTTTGCTTAAGGTTTGCAGTTTTCTGGACCTTTCATTTGTCTCTCAAGAGGGCTAAACATTATGTCTGCTTTCCAGGCAGTATATAGAAAAGGATGAGGGCAAAAAGGCTGACTTACAACTTCGATATGTGCGCATGAGCGTGCGCGCACATGTGCATATATACACACACGGAAATTATATATGTGTATATATATTCCCTATCTATCTATTTATCTATCTGTCTATCCATATTTGGCTACTCCTGTCTGAAAAGAAGTCTGGGAAATAAAATTTTTCAGTCACTCCTGTTGCCCAAAGTTCTTTTAATAAGGAAGAAGAGAATGAGTATTGGGTAAGTAGAAGTTAAAGAAAAAATTATTCAGTGACACTTGTTAAAGCATGGTAAGGAAGACTATTCAGGACCATCACCATAGATATAAGGACTACTGTAACGGGGTCTCTCAGTTGGGGAAAGAGATTGGGCCCAACTCCAAAGACAGCATGGGCAAGTGAGAATTTACAGCCAAGGAGCAGAGTCAGTGGATGAGAAATTACTAAGAGGAAACACCAGGGGTAAGGGGAAATCTGGCTAAACCAACCTAACAGGATTCTTGCTGAAGGCAGGCCAAGGTGATCAGATATCACCTGGAGGTCGGTTGAGGATGAAAAACCTGATCAGATGTCAGGGATGGGGGCAATTCTTGCTAAACTGACTTAGCAAGGTTCTTGCCTAAAACTGAGTTTTACAAGGAAGTGCATAGATGGACCTAGCAAAAGAATCAAAGCCTGACTAAAGTTTGGCCAAGCAAAGAGTCTTTGTCAAAAGTAACTAGCACTCCCTGCCATGTGTGCTTATGCACATACAACTCATGCGCTCCTCAAAACATTCCTCTCTCCCCAGAGCACATGTGAATGATTATTTATGAATTGATCTTGAGCTTTCCTGTGTATCCTTTCAGCTTATATTTTTTCTTCTGAGTTTTTAGCCCTAGTTAAGTTGCACAGTCAATTCTCTAGAAATAGGATTGTGCAGTGGAAAGAGCACTGGACTTGAACTGAGGGGACCTGATAAATCTGGTTCCAGTCCTCTGACATCTAAGCTTCCATTTCTTCCTTCAGTTAATGGAAATGAATTACCGTCTCTGCCTGTGTTTTACAGGCTTCTTAGAAGATCAGATGAGCACTTTTAATGTAAAAGTGCATTGTAAAGAGTGAAGCATTAAACAATTAAATGTATGGTATCGTTATGGTGCCTGTGTTCAAAAGCAAACTACTCATCTTTCCAACAGAATGAGTTATTGCTCTTGACTTCTCTTTTGGCAAGTCACCAAGTCTAGACAACTCAGTCTTGTGGCTACATCTGACTCCCACCCCACATCTCTGGTTATAATAGCCTTTGATATTATTATCTCAGTATTTCTTCATCTTTACCATCTCTCACTTACTCACTGCCACCCCTGTTGTTCAGGCCTGTACCATACTTATCGCTTGGCTATTGTAATAGCTCTGAGTCAACTTCAGGTCCAACTCTCCCTTCCCACCTCACATCTCTACATATTTCTAGACAGCCCTCATTTTTAGTGAGTATAGTATACTATGGGATTGCCTTATAATTTAGTAAATATTTTTCTGCTTTGGGGCATTAGGTTGTTTACATTTTTTGTTGTTATAGTGCGGTAGTAGACATTTGTGTGTGTGTATGTGTATGCTATACATAGCTCATGATTATTTGTTACAGTAAATTCCTATAACATGAGTTACTGAGATAATGAACAGTTCTTTCCTTTTCCCAGTTGTTTCCCAAAGGATGATTCCAATTTATATGCCATGAACAATAGAATACTATTTATCATGAATATATTATAGCTTTTCAGAGTGTAGGGATCAAAATATGCCACTTTGGTACATTGATTATTTGGGGTAAAAGGCATTGAAAAGGCCGGGCACAGTGACTCACCCCTGTAATCCCAGCAGTTTGGGAGGCTGAGGTGGGTGGATCACAAGGTCAAGAGATCAAGACCATCCTGGCTAACCTGGTAAAACCCCGTCTCTACTAAAAATACAAAAATTAGCTGTGCATGGTGGTGCGTGCCTGTAGTCCCAGCTACTTGAGAGGCTAAGGCAGGAGAATCGCCTGAACCCAGGAAGCAGAGGTTGCAGTGAGCCAAGATTGCACCACTGCATTCCATCCTGGCGACGGAACAAGACTCTGTCTCAAAAAAAAGAAAAAAAAAAACATTGAAAAACAGCAGATGCAGGGTCATTTTGAGCTCCCTTTTTCTTCCCAAAAGCGGGAGGTAAAACTTCCATGTGAAAGTTGCCCTCCCTGTACCAGGAACGAGGAAGACATTCTTGTAACCAAAGATGGGTAATAAAGGCTGAGAGAAATCTGTACTAACAAACCTTGTTAAACCAACCTTTATCTTCCCAGTCACTTTTCCACAATTACCTGTACTCACCCAACTTCTTTGTCTTGTCTCATTTTCAAAATTTACTACTCTTTGCCCAACCTACTATATAGATGTTAAGCTCTAACTGCTTCTTTCGGTCTTCATTTTTCTTGTGAGGGCTCCCATGTACATGTAAAAATTTCTGAATAATGTTTGTATGCGTTTCTCTGTTAACCTGTTTTATGTCAGTCTCAGCTAGAGACTTTAAGAGGGTAGAGGAGAAATTTGACCTTCTGTACAAGTAGTCTACAGCAAAACTTTAAAAACATATAATAAAAAAATGTAGGTGTTCATTTTCATATACGCGGAATCCAGGCATACCAAGTCCAGGAAGATTTGGTGCACTGCAATATAGGTAACCTTGTACTTAGACTTATAGACCCGTATGGAATGGATGAAGAACTTGAATGCAAAGTTGCTGTACATGTCAAAAGTGAAAAACACAATAAAAAGCAACCATCTCAAGGAAAAACAGAAAATTGTATTCTGGGTCACATAATGTTATCCTTTACAGGGCTCTTTACCTTGTAGAGGTCACCTGAAGATAAACCAGGGGCTGCTTTTCAGTGAGACCAAGGGTGCCTTCTCTTCCTCACTGCATGCAGTCCCTGACTCTCCTGCCTTTCCCCTCTGAGCATCCACACTGACCTTCTCACTTAGAATGATGACTGTGTAGAAGGTAACAGATTGTTCTCAAATGTCATCTACCAAGGGCTTAGAGCCTGCTGACTTTCACTGAGGGCTTAAGAAGGGATTCCAAGTTTTTGTCCTTGTCTGAGAAAGGAGGCCAAACTGATTTAAGTTTTCAGTTTCTTTAAAAACAAGCCTTACCTTTAGACAAACACAAATTACTCAAGTTCTTTGATGATTCCTTCCCTATCCCTCTTCCTTTTATCATAGAGAAGAAGGTTGGGTGATAGAAGAATTTGGACTATTTATGAATTTTTCTTAATGTTTTGAATTCAGTGTAATTATAGATAAAGTAACTAAAATAGAGGGTTAGCTGATTGTTCTTGATAATCATAAATATATGTTTTGAGGGTCAGAGAGTATGAAGCATTTTTTAAACCTCCCAAAAAACTTGCCATCTTAAGACGTCTTTAAAAGAGAAACTTGCTTGTTCTTTTATTCAAAAAATACTAATCTTTGCTCTCCTATCCAAGATTAATATTTTATGATTCTGTGACATTTATTTAAATTACAGTGTTGGTTTGTACAGCTCTTCTGTACTGTTTATAGATGCAGTTGAAACCAAGGATTAATATTGATTGCCATCTAAGTACATCTTTTATCCTTTTAAAATTGCAATAAAAATAATCCTTCTCCCTCCCCAGTTGACTGCTATATTGACTCAGTAGTCTTTCTGGCATTAACCTGTGATATAACAAGTAGAATTGTTGCTGACTGCAGCAACTCTAGTTATTCAAGAGTAGTTCCCATCAGCATTTCTTACATAATCCTCTACTTAGGAAGTAGTGTTTTCCAAAAAATCGCACCTTCTAAAATTTAAAGATGTAGTTGGAAAGCCTTTTTTAACACTAAAATTTCATTTTTGACATTGAATATTGTAAATATCTACCAAAATTTAAACACTTAAAATTTAGTATGAGAAAAATCATTTAAGAATTAGGTCTTTTCACCCTGCCACCTCATGCTGTTTAATCCACAGGCATTATTCTCCAATAGCTAAGGAGATGGGAATCTGGCTTCAGGTGGCCCCACTAATGGGGAATTGAAATAAAGAAAATTATGAGTATACCATTACATACTAAATACCATACTATAATAAAAAAAAAAAAATACATATATATATATATATATATATATATATATATATGCACCATGGAATACTATGCAGCCATAAAAAAGAATGAAATCATTTCCCTTGCAGCCACATGGATGCAGATGGAAGCCATTATCCTAAGTTAATTAATGCAGAAACAGAAAGCTAAATACCACAAGTTCTCACTTATAAGTGTGAGCTAAACATCAAGTACACACAGACATAAAGATGGGAATAATAAACACTGGGAACTCCAAAAGAGAGGAGGCAGGGAGAGGAGCAAGGGTTAAAAAACTACCTGTTGAGTACTGTGGTCACTATTTGGGTGATAGGTTCAATAGAAACCCAAACCTTGGCATTGCGCAATATACCCATGTAACAAACCTGCACATATACCCCTGGATCTAAAAAAAGAAAAGAATTAGGTCTTTTGAGGTCATATGTGTATAGAAACAGCAGTAAATGATGTATACATCATTGTAATTGTAGAGAATGATTTGCCATGATAAAAACAATATTCGCTATTTTTTTCTCCATATTGTATGAAAAAACTTGATAGTTTTCTATCTATTGCTCTATTCATTTCTCTTTCTAGGTGAACATGTCAAACCTTTTACGCCAGAGAAAGCAAAAGAAATTATCATGTCTTTACAACAACCTGCAATCTTCTGTAACATGGTGTTTGATTGGCCAGCACGACACTGGAATGCTAAATACCTTTCGGAGGTCCTTCATGGCAAACGGATACGATTCAGAATGGGGATGAAAAGCATGAGCACAGGTATCACTATAGGTAATCACTATCATAATGTCTCTTCAGGAGCATCCCTGCATTCTCAGCAGTGGCCTCCTGATCTCTTGAAAATCCTTGCTTTCTAATCCTTTTTTTTTTTTTTTGACCATTCACTGTACATACAGGAATATTTTATTGGAAAGTTTGGAAAACAGTTTGGCTTAAGTGTTTTTTGTTTTTGTCTATATAAAGTATAGACAAAACAGTCTATAGTTTATGACCGCATACAAAATGTATTTGTTCATGTATCTTATATGTATATTGCTAAACATTATTGTGGTTCATTAAATGTTAGACACTTAATAAATAAATATTTGTTAATGTGCTCTTATTTATGTTCCTATTAGACCAATACTAATCTAATAGTGCCGTCCACTTTTTACTCAAGTAGAATGTGTCCTTTTATTTGTGGCTTCAGGCACTATTTATAGTTGTATAATTACTGGGTTGTAATTTTATCCCTCTGCTTTATTGACTGACTGACCTGTTTTGCATTGCACAAACATGAACCATATGTAAAGCTCGCTCTTTTATTCTCTTAAGCAAATAGATTTTGCCTCTTCTTTTCTGAAGACATAACATTTTGATTTGTTTGCCTTATTTTCAGATAAAGCAATTACCATTAACTCTAAAATTTAGATAATTTACCATTAACTCTAAAACTACTGTTTCTAATCTAAGAGAGTCTATAATCATTTTCTGGTGTTTAACTTATATTTCAATATGGGTAAGTTTGGTAGTCTAGAATTTCAGTTTTTTTAAGCATTGAGGTAAAGTAGCTTGTTAATATCTATTAACAGCTCAGGAGAACTAGAAAAGTCCCCAGCTTCCCTTCCTGCTGCTCCAACCTGCTTTCTCTCATTTTGACCTTGTAGCATTGCTGACAGAATTATTTAGTTTTTGGTGTCTGGAACCCCTTTGTACTCCTGTGACAGATGTAGCATGTTGAATATACCTGGAACTCTTTGTCATCTCATTATAATCAAAGATCAAACTGTTTAAAATTCAATCTTAGACCAGCAGCAATAACATAAAAATCAAATTGTGCCTTTTCCTTGTTGATTTTAGTCAAAGAAATCTGCCTCTCATTGAAGTGTCTGTTAGACACTAATTTGGATAAAAATAGAAATAGTAATTTTTTCACATTCTGGTTAGATTCCAAGTACAATACTACCAATAGCTAACATTTATTTAAAGCTATTGTTTCAGGCACTATTGTGAATACTTTGCACATACGGTATTAGCTTTCTGAATCTTCCTAAAACCTTAGGACAGTGCTGCTATTATCCCATTTTATAGATGAGACACAGTAATTTGACATTTTCAAGTTAATACTTAAGCACTAAAAAAAAAAAGGGAAATAACTCTCTGAGGTTGTGAGAAACGACTCTGAGCTTTTAGTAAAGACAATGTTCTTTTTTATTAAATAAAATCTACATAACATAAAATTGAGCATTTTAGCTATTTAAAAGTATGCAATTCATTGGTTGTTAGTATAGTCACGATATTGTACAACCATCACTACTATCTAATTCTGGAATATTGCTATTATCCCATAAAGAAGCCCAGTACCCATTAAGGCATCATTTTCCATTCTGCCTTACCATAGGCCCTTGCAGCCACTGATTTACTTTCTGTGTCTATGAATTTGACTACTTAGAATATATCATATAAGTGGAATCATTCAATATTGGCCCTTTTGTGCCTTGCTTCTTTCATTTAGTGTGTTTTCAAGGTTCATCCATGTTGTAATATGTGTCAGTACTTCAGTTCTTTTTATTGCCAAATAATATTCTGTTGTACGAATATGTACATTTTATTTATCTATTCATCAGTTGATGGACATTTGGGTCGTTCCATTTTTTGGCTATTACAAATAATGCTACTATGAACATTCATGTACAAGTTTTAGTGTAGACATGTATTTTCATTTCTCTTGGAGTAGAATTGCTGGGTCATACAGTAATTCTGTGTTTAACATTTTAAGAAACCGTTTTCCAAAGCAGCTGCACCATTTTATATTCTCACTTTCAATGTATGAGAGTTCCAGTTTGTTCCACATCCTTGCCAACACTCCATTTTAAAAATTATAGCTATTCTAGGCTGGATGCAGTGGCTCACACCTGTAATCCCAGCACTTTGGGAGGCCGAGGTGGGCAGATCACGAGGTCAGGAGTTTGAGACCAACCTGGCCAACATGGTGAAACCCTGTCTCTACTAAAAGTACAAAAAACAAACAAAAAAAATTATAACTATTCTAGTGTATGGGAAGTATTATTATAGTTTTGATTTGTGTTTCCCTAATGGCTAATAATGTTGAGCATCTTTTTATGTGTGTATTGGCCATTTGTATATCTTCTTTGGAAAAATGTCTGTTCAAATCCTTTGCCCATTTTCTAATTGTTTTTGTCTTTTCATTATTGAGTTATAAGAGTTCTTTATATATTCTGGATACTACCCTTAGTAAGTATATGACTTGCAAATGTCCCACTACTCAGAGATAACCACTAGTTATATTTTGAGGAATGCCCATGTAGGCCTTTCTGTATTTTAAAAATAAAGTTATATTAATTTTCATAGCTTGCTTTTTTTTTTCTTTTACTCTGAGCAGCTTCTCTTGAGATTGTATGATTTTTCAAAGGCTACCTAATATTTTATTGTTTAGTAGTATCATAATTTAATTTTAAAGTTTTGATGACTTAGATTGCTTACAAGTTTTAAATTTTAAAAAGACTGTAGTGAACATCTTTGCAAACAAATTTTGTCAAAGTTTCTGATTACTTCCTTAGGATTGATTCCTAGGAGAGTTACTGGATCAAAGGATATGAGCATTATCATCATTAGCAGCACTATCTGTGACACTCCTTACACCAGAACCTCTGAGTCATTCTGATTGCTTGTCTTGAGTGGTGTCTTGTGACTCAGTGACTTACATCCTAAATATCTAGCATCTGCCTGCTTCTGTCTGTCTCCACAGCCGTCCTCTAGTGGGCGTTACCCCGCTTACTCTCTCTCACCACCATAGTTGTATGGCCTCATCCTAGTCTGTCTGCACCCCTTGCCCTCCCTTTCCACACCATTCCTCGTACTGAAGCCAGAGACGACTTTTAGGAAAACAAATCTAATCTTATTTCTCTGCTTAAAACACTTAAATGGCTTCCAGTTACGCTTAGGCTAAAGACCAAAATGTCCATTGTGGTGTGGAAGGCCCAGCATCATTTCTCTCCCTGAGCTCAGGCCAGACAAGCATTTTTCAGTTTCTGTATTTCCAGGGCTTTGTTTCTTCCCACTTCAGGACCTTCGCATGTGTATGTAGTTCCCTGTGTCTAGCCTCTCTTTTCTCACTTCCCTTTCTGCCAACTCTTTACCTAATTAATTCATCTCCTTCTGTCAGATCTTAGCTTAAATGTCATTTTTCCTGACAAATCTATCCTTCCCCATACCACAAATCAGGTATGACTATTCAATTACCTCAGAACATTTTGTATTTCTTAGTAACACTTAGCACAGTTGTAATCACATGGTTGTATAATTACCTGTTTAAAGTCTCTTCCCCTCAAGAAGGTCACTTCTGTGAGGGCAAGGGCCACATCTCATCATGGGCTGAGCACCTAATGGACATTCAATTTGTGAAGTGAAAGAATGAAAGGCTTTGAAACATATGGCTAAGGGCTTTGCACGAAGGTGGTTTCTATTTACATTCTTTTCAGAACATGTGAGGGTTCCTGTTTTGCTACTCCTTGGCCAAAACTGAAATTTATCTTAAAAATCTTTCAGGCTGGGCATGGTGGCTCATGCCTGTAATCCCAGCACTTTGGGAGCCTGGGGCAGGAGGATTGCTTGAGCCCAGAAGTTCAAGACCAGCCTGGCCAACATAGCAAAACCCTGTCTCTACAAAAAGTACAAAAAAATTATCTGGGCATGGTGGCATGCACCTGTTGTCCCAGCTACCCAAGAGATTGAGATGGGAGGATCACCTGAGCCTAGAAGGTTGCGGCTGCAGTTAGCTGTGATCACGCTACTGCACTCAAACCTGGAAGACAGAGCGAGGCCCTGTTACATGAAAAATGTTATTTCATTATTTTAATTAACATTTATTTGGCTGCGTGCAGTGGCTCATGCCTGCAATCCTAGCACTTTGGGAGGCTGAGGTGGGTGGATTACCTGAGCTTAGGAGTTCGAGACCAGCCTGGGCACCTGGCAAAACGCCATCTCTACTAAAAATACAAAAAATTAGCTGGGCATGGTGGAGCACGCCTGTAATCCCAGCTATTTGGGAGGCTGAGGCATGAGAACCACTTGAACCCAAGAGGCAGAGGTTGCAATGAGCCAAGATAGTGGCACTGCACTCCAGCCTGGACCACAGAGTGAGACTCTGTCTCAAAAAAAAAACAAAAACAACACACACACACACATTTATTTGATTGCTAGTGATATTGAACATATGTTCATGTTTATTCGTAATTTGTATTTTTTTCTGATAATTGGTCTTTGACTATTTCCTTATTGGGATTTTAGGGTTTAAAATTTTTTTTGAATTCTTTATATATTATGAAGATTGTGGCATGGCACAGCGACTCACACCTATAATCCCAGCACTGTAGGAGGCCTAGAAAGAAGGATCACCTGAGGCTGGGAGTTCCAGAACAGCCTGGGCAACATAGCAAGACCCTGTCTCTACAAAAAAAAAATTGTTTTAATTAGCTGGGTGTGATGGTGCACACCTGTAGTCTTAGCTGCTCAGGAAGCTGAGGGAGGAGGATCGCTTAAGCCCAGCAGTTCAAAGTTCTGACCACGCCACTGCCCACCAGCCTGGGCAACAGACTGAGACCCTGCCTCTAGAAATAAAAAAAATAAGTAAAACAGATGAAAAAAAAGAAGACTGTGTTGTTAACTAATAAGCTTCCTAGTTATTGTTTGCTTTCTCATTTTAGCTTCACAGTTTTATATTTTTATATAATCAAATAATGCTTTATTAACATTTTTATTTTCATTTAACTTTAGAAATTCCTTCTTTATCCTGAAAATAGAGAAATATTCTAATAGTTTTTTTCTAATTGATTAATGATTTCTTTTTTACATTTAACTATCCATTTCTTACTTATTTTGTTATATGGTATTCAATGAATTTTTTTATACAAATAGCTAAATTTGGAAATTTTATTCCAATACCATTTACTGAATATTTCTTTTTTACCCTACTGACTTTGGAAATCACCTTTATTATATTACTATATTCTTGTATATTCCAGCATCAGTTTTTGGGCCACATATTAAGCTACCAGTTTGGGGGCCAGTAAAACAGTTTTAAAACATGATTTTAGTACTGGTAGGTGTTTTAATATTTGAATATACAATTCATCCTCCCTAATTACTCTTTTTTCTTAGATATTATTGAATTTTATATATCTAAATGAACTTTAGAATTACACAAAGTTCTCACTGTAAAGAAACCTGTTGGAATTTCAAATGAAAATTGATTAAGCTTTATAATTAATTAATCCCATTGTTACAATACTGTATCTTCCTACACAGGAACATGTTATCTTTACTTACGAAGTCTATTTGGGTCTCAGTAAAGTGATTTATAGTTTTTATATAGGTCTACAGATTCCTTAAAATATTGTAAATTTGTTATAGCTGTTATGAAGGAAATATTTTTGCCTGTTACAGTTTTCTAACTGGTTGTGATTGGTCATAGAGGAAAGCCATTTGTTTCTGTGTGTTTATATTGTGTGCACCTACTAATTAGCCTAGGTAGTTTTGTGTTGTTTTGTGGGTTTTCTAGTTAGACAGGCATATGATTTTAAAAGTAAGGATAACTTTGTTTCCTCTCTGTTGAGTATGTTTCTTATTTCTGTTTTAGGTCTTAGGTCTTGGTTAGAATTTTTCTAGAATACTTGAAATAGAAGTGTTAATAATTGGCATTTTTGAATATCATGTGTTCCTTAGTTTATTTTAGGAAGCAGATAGAGAACATCACATAGCATTTTGGATCAGATTTGTTTCCCAAGATACGTGCTCAGTGGCAGTGTTGTATCTCAGTTGGCAGTAAATTTGGCAAGCAGTTGTAGAAATAACCCTGAACATCTGAAAGCAGGGGGATAGAGTGATCAAAAGACCTGTTTAGAGTTTAGGCATCATGTATTACTTCTTACTTGTAAAATGATGAAAGTTTAACAAAATGGAGAAATAGTTGTTATCCTGTTGTGCAAAAACTATTTTAGGACCCCTTTTTATAATAATTAAAAGCAAGCTCAGCTTGTACACTACTGCCAAATCCTGACCTCAGTTGCGCTTCTTACCTAGTACTTTACAGTAAGTAGGATGAACATTATAGTTGCCTAGACTACTTCAACATTAAATGAAAGAATCTTGATAAAATTAGAAAGGAATAATTTCATTGCATAAGACAAACTAAGAATAACAACTGTACTACCCAGAAAGAAATTGTCATTATAACAAAATCAGAGCAGTACCTTTGATGATGCTACTACCAGGAAAGAGTGAAAAAATTCTATTTTGAAATCATTATGGAAATGAAAAGATCTGTCATTTTCATTCATTCCATTCATGATAATTTTCCCCTGACAGTAACAGTTCTCATATGTAATTTTTACATTTTTAGATTTAACATTTTTTAACATGCAGAGCTTGCTATAACAGAAAACGAAGTCTTCTAATGAGGCCAGGTTCTGGGGGCGGCAAATCAGGCTTGCCTGAGATAACTGGCCTCAACAGAAAAGTCCTGCTTAGTCCACCCCAGGGGCAAGTAGCTCATTTAATGGCTTTAATATTCAGTTGGATTGAATTCTAGGAAGTGAAAACTCCTAAGACGGTATAATATGTTTAGACTTACAGTGGAGTTACTTAAATCTTTTAGAAATGACTCCTATTTCCCAGAGTCATACAGCTTTCTTGCCCCATGCACTTTTGTTTGTCAGAATTAAACTTTATGTACTTCTGTGCTTTTATGATAAATTTTTGATGAAGTTGGTAATTTTTTTGTTTTGTTTTTGTTTTTGTTTTGAGACAGGATCTCACTGTCACCCAGGCTGGAGTGCAGTGGCACAGTCTCTACTCACTGCAGCCTCAACCTCCAGGGCTCAAGTGATCCTCCTGCCTCAGCTGCCTGAATAGCTGGAACTCCAGGCACATACTACCACACCTGGCTAATTTTTTTGTATTTTTTATAGAGACAGGGTTTCACCATGTTGCCCGGGCTAATCTCAAACTCCTGGGCTCAAGCAGTCCTCCCACCTCGGCCTCCCAAAGCGCTGAGATTATAGGCATGTGCCACTATGCCTGGCCAATGTTGATATGTTAAGAGTTTATGTATATTGATTGTTTACTATATGCCAGGCACTAAGTGCTTTACAAAAATTGTTAAAATTTAAATAGTTCTTGAATATGTATATTTTAATCTTTTAGATAAATGTGCCCTAGTTAAGTTCTCCTGCTTCTCAAAGTGAGGTGACAAGTTAAAGTGGATGAATTAGGATGATTCGTTGACATACACCCTGTCTCTATTACCTCTCTGCCATTCTGTGGCTTAGGAAAAAGAAGGGAAAGGAAAAAGATGATTGGATAATTCTAAGCAGTTACAGGCAGAAACGTAGAGAAAAGATAAAAGCCGTTGAAAGAAGAATATTCATATTCTTCTTGCTACTGATTCAGCTGACTTTTAAAGGGTTCCAAGTAAATATATGAATGGATAAGAAGTACTAATAATAGTGCCTAACATTGTCTGGGCACGGTGGCTCACGCCTGTAATCCCAGCACTTTGGGAGGCCCAGGCGGGCAGATCACTTGAGGCCAGGAGTTCAAGATCAGCCTGGCCAACATGGCGAAACCCCATCTCTACTAAAAAATACAAAAATTAGCCAGGCGTGGTGGCACATGCCTCTAGTCCTAGCTACTTGAGAGGCTGAGGCGGGAGGATCGCTTGAACCCGGGAGGCAGAAGTTGCAGTGAGTCGAGATTACACCACTGCACTCCAGCCTGTATGACGAGCAAGACCCTATCTCAAAACAAAAACAAAAAATAAAAAATAGTGGTGAACATTTACTGAAATCTGCTGTGTCAAGCACTGTGCTAACTGATCTATATCACATCTTGAAAAGATTTCATGTTTTGTAAAGGAAGTCATAATCAGATTTCTTAAATATTAACTTCCTATGTTCATTTAAGTTGCAAAAATAAAATTAATTTCATCATTCTTTTAGAAGAATAGTCTGTGTCAATCCAAGACTCCAATCTTGACTCACTGGGGTCACACCCATAATAGCAAGCCACTGTGGACAGATAAGATACCTTTTCTTGAAGCTTTCCTGATCAACCCTCATCTCTAGTGATCTTTGCCTTTTCCAAGTGTCAGCAGCATAAAATTTTGCATTTAACTATATGGTGCCTCAAGTTTTTATTTACTAAATCCTCAAGTTTGGATTACTAAATCTACTCATAGGGTAGTCTTTAATCTTGAGGTTAAAACTGTGCTTTATACTTTTATGTTTAATCCTGAGTATTGTGAATTTTATAAATGGCTCTAATTATATAACAAGTACAAATTAATTTTTAAATTTTTTAATTAATTTTTTTTTTTGGAGATGAGGTTTTGCTCTGTTGCACAGACTGGTCTCAAATTCCTGGACTCAAGCCGTCTTCCTGCCTCAACCTCCAGAGAAACTAGGATTACAGGCATACACCACCACACCTGGCTCAAAACGAATTTTTAGTTAGTCTTCAAAGTTAATGTTTTGGTTGAAATCATCTTTATTTTTTAAAAAACAACAATAATTAGGAAATGTGTTCATTATACATTTAAAGTTGCATTCTCTTACATTGCAGTTCCTCAGTTTGAAACTACATGTAGTTATGTAGAAGCTACACTCGAAGAGTTTCTGACCTGGAACTGTGACCAGTCTAGTATTTCTGGACCATTTAGAGATTATGACCATTCCAAGTTCTGGGCTTATGCTGACTATAAATATTTTGTCAGTCTATTTGAAGACAAGACAGATATTTTCCAGGTAAGTCAGAACCTTCCTTCTAATCTTGGTAGGAATTTGTTTTTGAGAACACACAAATTAGAATCTCCCTGGCACCTTCTCTGCCTTTTTCTCTCATAAGTAATCGCCATGAGTCCTGGATATTTCACCCACTCAAACCGAAAGTTTGCTGAAGAGAAGTGTATCATTTGGCTCACACAGATGAGCAGGCTTCCTTGTTTTCCTACTCCCAAACTTCCTATACACCCTCTTTTGCTTTTAAACAGTGCTTGAGTCGGTTTGGAGTATGTTAGAAGCATAGATTGTATGTAAAACTTCATTGCCTCCTGACCTCCATGTAAGTTCTTGTTACGTCACTGAGGCAGATGAAAGCATAAAGCCGATTCTGTGAAGGAGCATTCCCTGGGCTGTGACCAGGCTGCTGCTGCAATTTCTACCTGCTCTAGGGGTTTTGGACAGCTGTTTTATCTGGCAGTTCATGGCCTGAGGCAGAGAACACTTGGCTTCCAGTATTTGGTAGCGGAAGCCCTGTAGAAGTGTGGGAGTGACTTGCAGAAGTAAAATTATGGAAGTTCTTTGCCGTCTGTTGACATAACTGACAACAAGAGTTTCCAGACTACCATATCCTCTTTTCTTTTAAATGTTTTCTACCTTAAACTGGCAGTTTATTTTGTGAGATAATTTTGCAAACTCTCTGCTCTTGTTTCCATGTGTGTCTTAGGTGTGGGGCAGGAATGGGAGCCATTCCAGAGGCTGTTTGGAGGACTCTGCCTTGCCCCCACTCAGGCCAAGGCTCCAGAGTCCTTCTTCCTGCCCCTTCTTTGTGGAGAGAAATATTTCACCATCCCTGCAGGCTGTTCACCTCTTTTCCTCTCTGCCACCACCCACTCTCTGGACTTGGCTTTCATAGGCTGATAGTTCTTTGGCTCCTCAGTAATTTTCCATTCAGTGTATATTTTTCTTTTTTATGTTGAGTCAAGATGTAAATGCTGATGTTAACATAGGTATTATAATAGATCCTCCCATCTCAGCCTCCTGAGTTGCTGGAAGTATAGGAATGTGCCACTGCGCCTGGCTTAATTTTGCTTTTTTATATTAAAAAAAGGAAAAATGTGTCACCTTGCCCCATAGTTTTGTTGTTGTTGTTGTTGTTGTCGTTGTTGTTTTGAGATGGAGTCTCTGTCACCCAGGCTGGAATGCAGTGGCGCAATTTCAACTCCCTGCAACCTCTGCCTCCCAGGTTCAAGCAATTCTCCTGCCACAGCCACCGCCCACCCCCTAACCCCAGTAGCTGGGATTACAGGTGCCTGCCACCACGCCCAGCTACTTTGTGTATGGTTTTGTAGAGACAGGGTTTCACCATGTTGGCCAGGGTGGTCTCGAACTCCCGACTTCAAGTGATCCACCAACCTAGGCCTCCCAAAGTGCTGGGATTACAGGCATGAGCCACTGCACCCAGCCTGTCATTGTTGTTAGTTGAGAATGTATTTTCATTCTCTTACCCATGAAAGAAATGCATAGGTTTTAAAAACACTCAGTAAATGACTCTGAATTCAAAGTCAATACCAAATTTACTATTTACTCATTTTTAAATGATAATTTTAAGGTAGATGTTTTTTCTTACAACCTTAATTGTGATCACTTTATGGTTCTTTAATTATGGAACTTACAGATTTCATAGTTAACTTTAAAAGTGTTTTGTTATGTTTCTCATACTCACCCCCCACCACTCTGTAAATCAGACTAGTACTTTACTCCATATTTCAGGTAAAATATTGCTTAATAGTAACATTGATCAAGTACTTACTTTTGGGGGGAATTTTTCTAATGTTTTACATTTATAATCCTCAAAGTAACTCTATGATTTAATAATTATCCCCATTTTAAGAAAAATGAGACCCAAAGAGGTTAAGTAAACCTTTTCTAAGATTATACAACTACGAAGGGGTAACCCAAATAGTCTGCTTTCAGAGCTTTAGCTACTCCAGAGCTTTAATGACTACTGTGCCTACAGAGGGTGTGCATACATTCAGTCCCATTGGGACTCTCTGTCCTGAGTCTAGGCTCACTCTGCCTTGGATGAGTCTTTGATCTGACCTCAGTAGTTCTGTCTCATCCCAGGCAAGGCAGCACTGAGCAGTATGTGACCTGTCCATTAAGTGCGGATATAAAGGGCAGTCTTTTTGGCAATGTGCTGGAATTCTAACTGAGCCCTTATAAAATCTGATATTTTGAGTTGAATGAGTTTTCTTTCAGCTCATATTATGGCAATTAATTCTGCTATGAATAACCACATCCATTAGGATTATATCACCTTTTGTCTCGAAATTTTCTGGGCACCAAGTCTTCTTACATCACAGGTACCTATGTTGGTTTAATTCATTCAGCTACCAAGTCTTATTACTTGTGTTTCAAGCTTTCTTATATCTGTCATAAAATGGTGGGTAGTTAAGCATTAAAATGGGTACATTTAAAAAATGTTTATTAATTTATTTAAAATGACACAACCCGCTATATGTTAACATAATAATATTTTTAAGAAAATAACTATATTCAAAAAATTTTCAATGTCATCAGAGGGATGGATTGTTGTACATTTTGGCATGTCTCCTTGATGTCTGGCTGTAAGAAGACAGCTGGATTTTCTGCTTCTCCATTCAAGCTATTGCAATTTGTTGGTTTGTTTAAAGTATATGAAGAAAATTTTGCCTCACACACATATGAAACTGAAAAAGGGAGGAGTATTTATTAATAACAGCCTTTTCAGATAATTGTGAATTGTTTTTATACCACACCACACTTGATGAGAGGTAGTTTCTTAAAGGCTCATTAGTTGCAATATAAAACCTGAACCTGTAATGAATGAACTCTGTACCCTTGTAATAAAATCCATTGGTCTGTCTTGCGCAGAATGGATCTTATGTAATGTTATCATGGACCATTTGGAAAATATTGGTTTACTGAATTATGTAGATCTTCCAAATGTTGACACATTTTCAGTATACTTGATACATTTCATTATTCAAAAAGTCATGTTTGTTAATACCACTGTTCTTATCAGAAAAAAGTCTTAGGAAGCTTTCAGGCTCATGTATTTCTTTTTCTTTTTTTTTGAGACAGAGTCTGACTCTGTCACCCAGGCTGGAGTGCAATCACATGATCTTGGCTCACTGCAACCTCCGCCTCCTAGGTTCAAGCAATTCTCCCGCGTCGGCCTCCCGAGTAGCTGGGAGTATACACCGTGCCTGGCTAAATTTTAGATTTTTAGTAGAAATGGTGTTTCACCATGTTGACCAGGCTGGTCTCGAACTCCTGAACTCAAGTGATCTGCCTGCTCAGCCTCCCAAAGTGCTGGGATTGCAGGCATGAGCCATCATGCCCAGCCCAAAATATAACTTTTAAAATAATACAATTAATTATAATTACTCTCCAAAACTTACAAAGGATAAATATTTCAATCCAAATTTCAAACAGCCCCTTAAATTGACATTGTACATTAGCAATTGTCTGAGTTTCTTTTTCCTTAGAAAAATTACCTTAGGTACATAAACAGAAAAGAGGTAATTACTCTCTACCCACCGATAGGCTCGATAAACACCTTAATTCTTACATTACAACTTGTCTCATCAGAAAGCATCACTGGCCATCAGATGCCATTATTCATTATCAAATCACCTGCCTCAATTTCAACATGCTCTCATAGCTATGTTTTAAAGTCCAAGACGTGTTACAACTATTCTTCCATCTACTGTATTTTGGGAATCTGTGACCTGGTGACTTAACAAGGCTCCTGACCTTCAGTAGCCAATTCAAATCACAAAGTCAAATGGACTCTACCTGAGAAGCATTATTGGGGCAAAATTCCTTTTATTACATGTTGATTCTTAATGACTTCAATTATGATGATACTTACTGATAATTGCAAAAGGTAAAACCCGTCATTCTTACCTAATGAGTCTGAAAGAAAGAAATTTTGTTTTGTACTGTCACAAATTCCCTACCTTTCTAGGAAAGTAGAGAACAAAATGTTCAAAACAAGTGCTTTATTTAGATTAGTCAGTGATATGATGTATAACTAAAAAATAATAAGATTAATTTTATTTGCTATACACAAAAGTCAGTTAAGTGTCAAAATCATACTTTTAGGCCATCTTGAGGCTACAGGATATTTTCCAATCATACCAATATATTTATCAATATACATATTTTTCATAGATAAATTTAATTTGTGGAAGAAAAGAGTTAATAGGAGGAAACTTCAAGTAGAGGCTGTAAGTAAAAACTTACAAAACTAGTAGAGAGCCAGGGAGATTAAGAATTTCTTACCAAGGCTGACAAATGCTACACTGATTAACTAGAAGCCGCAGAGAATTTGACAAAGGTGAAGCTAGGGGTTTAAGTCAAAACATTCTCTGAGGGGTCCTAAAGACCCAGAGAAATATCAAAACAAGAAATGGTAAGAGTAGGAAAAAATCCACTTATGTAATCATTCAAATACCTATTATGTATTCAGCAGTATGTTAGCAGTTTACAGGAGTAAAAAATTATAAAATATAGCCCAAAGAGCTTACAATATTGTTAAAGGAACAGGAGGACACAAACGTTCTGTGTCACTTACCATTTAAATAGTAATCCAAATAAAACATATAGGAAGGAAGGCAAGGGACAGATGGATATGGGTACAAGTGGTTGAGAAGGTTTCATAGCCAAGGCTGAACCTGAGCCAGGTCCTAAAACATAGAACTTTAACAGGCAGAAATTGAAAGGGGCATGAGCAGAGGCCAGGAGGTAAGAGAGGGCATAGGTCAGTGAGGAGACTGGACAGGGCCTTACGCAGAGCAGACAGGTGGCGTCAGCCATACTTGGGAGGGTCTTAAATGCTATCCTTATATAATTTTAAGTTATAAAACGTTTGTGAACATGATTAAAGTATTTCAATTTTAATCTGGAGTATGACTTAAAATGTATTTTCATAAGAAACTGTTTTAGAATTACTTAGAGGAGGGGTCAGAACAGAAGAACATAGAGTAATTACAGTTGTGATGTTGTAAACCAGAGTGGCCCATAGACCCCTGGGGGTCCCTGACAACCTTTCAGAGGATCTTTGAGATAAAAATTATTTTCATAATACTTCTAAGGTGATATTTGCTTATTTCACAGTGTTGACATTTGCACTGATGGTACAAATGCAATGGTTAACAAAACTGCTAGTGTCGAGACAGTGGGATCAAAGTGTACTAATAGCATTGTATTAAAAAAATACACACACAACTTTATTGGGGTATAACTGATATATAATAAACAGCATATATTTAAGGTGAACAGTTTGATTAAGTTTTACGTATACATACACCCAAGAAATTATCACCACATTCAAGATGACAAACATTTTGATCATGTCCAAAAGTTTCCCAGTGTCCCTTCATAACCTGTCTCTCCCTACACCCTCATTCTCAGACACCACTGATGTAGTACTTTCTGTCACTGCAGGTTAGTTTGGCAGTTCTAGAATTTCATAGAAATGGAATCATATAGTAAGCACTCCTTTTTCATGCCAATACTATTCAAAGGAGGAGACAGACATAGTTAACATCAAAACAAGGAAACCCAAGGTAGAGAGGGTCATTTTATCACAATAAAAGGTCAATTCACCAAGCGGACATAATAATCCCAAATGTGTATGAACCCAATAACAGTTTCAAAATACATGAACAAAACTGACGAATCTAAAGTGAGAAAAACACAAATATACAATTATAGCAGGGGGATTTCAATACCTCTGTCTCTATAATGGGTAAAACAAATATACAGAAAATCAGTAAGGACACAAAAGACTTGAACAATCCACTTGATTTCATTGACATTTATAAAACACTCCACCCAACAACAGAAAACACATTATTTCCAAGTGCACATGGAACGTTTATCAAGATTGATTATATTCTGGGCTATAAAACAAGTTTCAATAATTTAAAAGGATTTAAGTCATACAAAGTATGTTCTCTCACCACAACAGAATTAAATTAAAAATTCATGACAAAAAGATAGCTGAAAAATCCCCAAATATTTGAAATTAAACCTTAAACTTCTAAATAATCCATAAGTCAAATAGTAAATCACAAGGAAAATTAGGAAATATTAGGCTGGTCCTTGACTATAAGTCAAGGCTGAAGAGATATGCTAAGCAACAGTCTGCAAGTAAGAGACAGGGAGGCCCAATATTAGCCTTGGTATAATTTAGTTGCTTAAAAAGAAAAGTGCCGTCTGACAGTGCATTAATGGTATGATGTCCGGGTCATGGAATGTTACAATTCCATGGATACGGGTTCTGTGTAGACTGTGTCTGGGGTTCAGTTTGGGAGCCAGGCTTTAGGCCTGTTGACAAATAAAGGAAATTGAGAGAAGAGCAATTGGAAGGAAAAGTTAATGCTGCTGCATCTAGGTTAAAAAAAATAATAATAAAGGAGAAGCTGGACAGTCTTTCTGATAACTTAAAAATAGCAATTTTTGGCAGGAAATAAACTTGTTCTCTTTAGTTATAGAAAGCAAACCTAGGATCCTCCTCTGTAAGCTACCAGGAAGTAGATACTGATTTTGTAGTAAGTGGTCAACCAGCTAGCTACTTTCCCTCCCAAGCTAGCTACTTTTGCTCTCTTCAGGGATGGTGTAGAATAGAACTTTCTGAGAATAGATGATTTTTAAAGATTTTTCCAACTCTTGAGGTATGTGTGAGTAGACTCCAGGACAGATCACCCTACTGATCACCCTTTTTGGTTTTACAGATGTAGCACCCAAACAGGGCCTCCTGTTTCTAGCAAGACTCAAGACAGATTCCTGGGCCCACATTGACTTCAGACATTTGACTACCCATAAGTAGCTAAACTTACTTGGGCAGAGAAGCCCAACTCTCAATGCTGTCTATTTTTACACTGACAATTTTGCTTTTTTTTTTTTTTTTTTTTGAGACAAGGTCTTGCTCTGTCACTCAGGCACTCAGGCTGGAGTGCTGTGGTGCAAACAGCTCACTGCAGCCTTAACCTCCCAAGCTCAAATGATCCTCCCTCCTCAGCCTCCTGAGTAGCTGGGACCACAGGTGCATGCCACCACGCCCAGCCAATTTGTTAAAAAAAAGTTTTTGTAGAGACAGAGCCTCACCAAACATTGCCCTCGCTGGTCTTGAACTCGTGGACCCAGGCAGTCCTCCCACCTCAGCCTCCCAGATTGCTGGAATTACAGGCATGAGCCACCACACCTGGCTGACAGTTTTGCTTTTCAAGTCATTACTGTTAGACAAGAGGCCAGGGAAGCCTCTCCTCAGTTTCTCATACAGTAACCTCACCCTGTAGAAAAATCTTTCTTCAGTGATTCTTTCCAAAGCAGGGCTCTAGAACAGGGTTTTTCATGTGGGGTTGGTCTGTCACTTCTTTGAAAGTATATATGAAATTTCATGTGTGCTTTTTCTGAGGAGAAGGGGCTTTGGTATTCATTAGATTCCTGCAAGGACATATCTATAAGATTAAGAATCACATAACCTGTCTCTTCTTAGCTAAGACAAGTCTCTTTTTTCCTTTTTATACTGAATGGCTTTCAGCTACCTTTAGTTAAATTCTTCAGACTGAGGTGTGGTAAATTGTTCAACAAGGACCAGGTTAATTGGAAGCCTCCCCTAAGCTCCCTGCTTGGGTACAGGGCTCTCCTGCTGTGATCTTAAAGCATTTCCTGCATATTTGTGTCAGAGCACTTGTTACATCATGTTGAAAGGCTCTGTTTATAGGATTATCACCCATTATTAGATTTGAAGGGTTGGCCTGTGTTACATTAATTTTTGTATCCCCAACACCCAGCATCACACCAGGTGTATGCTCAAAAATGTCATTGGCCTGAACTATTTTAACCATCATAAGTCAGTGGATTCTTCTTTCCCTCCCAAGCAGCCAGTGTGTTCCAAGGTCTAACCCTGAGCCTGATACTAAGTTAGGCATTGAGAAAACAGGGGTAAGCTCCCAGTATGGAGGTTATAGGCTATATGCAGAGAGAACAGGATTTTTACCACCCACTGGAACTGCCACATGTGAGCCATATGCATTTACAGTGGTGCTGACCTTGCAAAAATTCCCCCTTCTATGTCAGACATTAGTTATGTGCACGTATTCAACCATTTTCATCACTCAAAACAAAAATGAAAAAAAAGTGCCCTTTCTAGTGTTCCTCAAAACCATCCATTAAATTTCTCTTTAAAATCCTTTCTTTTTGAATACAGCTGTTAATGTTTTCCCTCTAAAAATAGAAAATTTGGACTGCAGTTACTGATAAAAGGAGTGTCAGCATTGAGAATGATGTTCTGCACATAGAAGTGGGTTTTTTTTTCTTTGCTTTTGTTTTTTAAAACCAAAAGGAAAATTTCGTGAGTAAAATAAAAATAAGGCAGAACCATCATGCCTGGTTCACTAGTATATTCTTTTTCTTTTCTAGCTTATAAATCTGTTTAATCACATGGATTTCGGTTTATGTGTGACCCTATTTTTCTGTGCTGCAAATGCACCGTTGGCTTCTAAAAGTATAGGCTTTTCCCAGTAGTTGACTTGAGCAGGATTTGCCCACAGAACCAGGCATATGAAGAGTCTCAGTCCAGAGCACTGTGCTGTCTCTGTTCTAAAGATCATTGCACTTAAGAAGTTCATGACTTTGGGGAGTATATTGAAAGCCATCCATGGATGTATATTTCAAAAGATGTACTTTGACACCCTCACCTGAAGACTGATCTAGTAGGTATGAGCTAAGGCTCCAGCATTGATAGTTTTAAGTAACCCCACTAATGTAGGAGAAGGCTTCTTTTATGTGGTCATTGAAGTACATAAAGTTAGTAAGTTGCATATATACACAAATATATGCACTGCTTAGAGGGAATAAGGATTTCTGACTTCCTCGGTTGCGTCTCAGAGATATTTGAAATAATGACGTTTCCACTGTATTCACTGTTTTAACTGCCCAAAACACGCTTTCCCTAAATATCAGCAGAATCCTGTCTGTTTCCAACTCTAAAATGTAAGCTTCATCTGAGTGGGCATTTTGTCTCTTTTGTTCATTGATTCATTACAAGCTTCCAGAACAGTGCCTGGCATGTTGTAAGTAGTCAGTAAATATTTGTTGAATGATTACTATTAGTGTGGTTATTCAAATATGTTATTGGCTAGAAAGATTTCTTGAACTGCCCTGGAAACCTAACCTCTTCCATCTGTAGCATTTTCCATAACAGAATATTCCAACTGCCAAATAACAGATGTGCAAGTGAAAATGGGCAACATTACCATACAGAGAAGTTGGTTAGTTCTTGATGGATTGCAACTTTATTTCAAAACAGGATGTGAAATGGTCTGACTTCGGGTTTCCTGGAAGAAATGGACAGGAAAGTACATTGTGGATTGGCTCCTTGGGAGCCCACACACCCTGTCATCTGGACTCCTATGGTTGTAACTTGGTATTCCAGGTACAAGGAAGGTAATGTGTGTGTGTATGTGTGTGTGTGTGTGTGTGCACCTGTGCATGCATGCATCAGGGGTGGCAGAGAGAATAGGGCAGTACCCCAAGGTGTAGTCCCAGCCCCATTCTGTTAGCCTGCCTTATGATTGGGGCAGACCTCTTAACCTCTGGTTTTGGTTTCTCCTCTGTGAAATGAGAACAGTTAAAATGGTGGTTTACAGGTGAGTGCTTTGCCGTGATCAGGATTGTCTTCAGAGAGTTGATTCTAGAATTCTGGGATTCCACTCCCAGGTCAGCTAGACAGCTCTCTGTTTTTTTTTTTGTTTTTTTTTTGTTGTTTTTTTGTAAATTAGAGACATTTGAGACAGAGTCTTGCTCTGTTGCCCAGGCTGGAGTGCAATGCGTGATCCTAACTCCTAGACCTCAAGCCATCCTCCCGCCTCAGCCTCTCAAGTACCTAGGACTACAGGTGTGTGCCACTATGCCCAGCTAATTTTTAAAAAATTTTGTTTAGAGATGGAGTCTTTCTACGTTGCTCAAGCTAGTCTTGAATTCCTGGCCTCAAGCCATCCTCCTGCCTTGGCCTCTCAAAGTCCTGGTGTGAGTCACTATGCCCAGCCTATGCTTAGCTTTTCTTTTTTACATGAGTTTGTAGTTTTCAAACTTTTATTTTAAAATGGGAACACCCTTTCTCCAAATCTAAATAAATAAGAGCAGAGCAGTTTGTTGAAAGGAAGAGGCTCCACTGTTGCCCTCAAGCTCCCCTCCAAGGGATGCCAGCGATCCTGATTTGAAAAATACTGGACCCTTTAAACTGTAAATTTTAGTTTGTGCCTACCTGACACAATACAGTGTATTGTTACCTTAGGTCAGTTTTTGTCTCCATCTATCTGTGGACTCTAGAAGGGATAGGCAGTGCTTCTGGTTTCTGGAGTTCTACGAGAGTCTTAAGTGTTTATGCCACTTGGAGGATGTACTCAGATGTATGTGCAGCCTTATTTTCCCCTAATTAATGATGCCCCAGTCTTTTCTCCTGGTCATGTGGGATATTTACAGGGCAGCACAGAGAGTAAAACAGAAAAGGCCATGTACAAGTTCTCAGACCTATTAGATGTGAAAAGAATTGTGAATAGGTTCAGGAGAAACAGTCAGTATGTCTGTGGATACATTTCACATGTGAAGAACTCTGAAAATTACAGAATGGTAGAAGTTATCCACTCTCTGATGCATTTCATCTTTATTAAAGGGCACAGAATGTGTCAGGTACATAGCTACACACTGTGGATGCAAGAGTCAATCAAATGAGTGTGGTCTCAACCTTTGTGGAGTTAACAGGCTAAAACCTTAAACTTGGTAAGAGAGACAACATTTTAAGTAGCTGTGTTCTGAATTGGGAAACAAGCCAGAGAAATTCAAGTTGGAAAAACATTATCAAAAAATACCTGAATTCTTTCTATGATATAAAGTTAATATCACTTTTTTTTAACTTTGTAATAAGACATTTTCTGGCCTTATATAACTCTGGAATAATAAAATAGCTTTCGTAAATACCCATTGAGTATCCTTCTGTACAGGGACCATGTGTTACAGTAGGTACAGAGGTGAGGGAGTAATACACCATCTCTACCGTGGGAGAGCTCACAACCAGATTGCAGGCAAGCCGACAGACAGCCGTGATACAAGGCAGAATGCCCATGCTCTAGAGGAAGGTTTCACAGAGCTGTAGGACTGAGAAGTAGAAGAGGTCATGTTCCTGTTGGAAAGATCAGGGAAGATTTCACAGAGGAGCTGCCATTTGTGGTGGGCCTTGAAGGATAGATAAGTGCTCGAAAGACCCAGATGGGAAGGGCAGAGGGACCCTGAGAAAGCATGGGGTGTAGAGAGGACCCCTTAATTTGTCCAGTATATGTTGTGCATTGGAGACAGAGGGAGTAGACCAGAAAGGCAGGTAGGTTGAGTCCCCAGTGTCTTGACTTCCAGGCAAACACTGTTACTCTCTGTTCCTTCAGCATCCAGAAGCATGAGAGGTTTTTAAAGCAGGAGATCGCATGGTGATTGAATACCTTTTCTGATAGAAGGATTCATGCATTTTACATTTTTTAAGCCAAACAAAGCAGATTGGATGGGATGGTTATCATTATGGCTATTCCTTTGGGAAATATTGCTATGGTGCAGGGGAAGGAACTGGGATCTGGAGAAGCCAGGAGATCTGTGACCTCGTTCTGAATCTACCACCACCCCAGTGAGTGACACTGAGCAAGCTCTGAGTCTTTCTGCCACTACTTTGAAAATGAAATTAGACTGATGATCTCTTCAGAGCCCTTCCAACTCTAACATCCGAAGCATATTGATACTGAAAACTGCTTTCAAACTAATACAGTGGAATGGAGCAGCTCTTAAAGCTTAAATTAAATTAAAGCTTTAAGATTGGGCAAACAGCTTTTGAACCTCAATGGTTTTTAAACTGATGACTGTGTAAACTGATAGACTGCCTTATAGCTCCGAAATGAATTTTTTTTTTTTTTTTTTTAGATACATGGTCTTGCTTTGTCACCCAGGCTGGAGTGCAGTGGCACAGTCATAGCTCACTGCTTCCTCAAAACTCCTGGGCTCAAACAATCCTCCCACCTCAGCCTCCTGAGTAGCTAGGACTACAGGCACACACCATCACACCTGGCTAATTTTTTCAGAAAAATTTTTATAGGGATGAGGTACTGCTATGTTTCCCAGGCTCCAAGGCTAGTCTCTATCCTGGCCTCAAGCAATCCTTCTGCCTTGGCCTCCCAAAGTGCTGAGGTTACAGGCAGTGAGCCACCACACATGGCCTGAATGTAAATGTTTACTGAAGAGTAAAGCATTTCATTATTTCTATAAAACCTTCAAATTTCTAAAGCAAAATAAGACTTCAGTATATACTACTTAGTTCGAAAACAGCAGCCCCTGTTTCTTGGTTCTGAAAGGACTTGATAGCCCCACTCTAACAACTGCAAGGGGTCACTAGAGGGCTTTGGGCTTCTTCTCTCAGAACTAGGTTTTTCCTTCTTTTCTCTTTGCCTCCCCATCTAAACATCTAGATGTCTAGGTCTCTTTTTTTTCTCATACTTCCCTTGCTTTTGCCTCAGATGTCTTCCCCCTATTGGCATAAAGCATAGGTGTGTCTAGTGTTTTGTGAGTTAGAATTTATTACCTCCATTTTCAAAACTGTTTTAAGTGAGAAACATTTGACAGTTTTCTTTTTGAAAATTCCCACATTATACTGCTTTATTTATGTGGTGTTATTTGTGCATGTCCACTCCCTAATGGATTAACTTAACAAATGTTTAACTTAAGGAATTTATATATAACCCAAACAGGGAGAAGTCTGGAAACTATTTGGTGGATGGAACTATGAGTGTTTGCTCTGAATAAGATAAGAATACAGATATTTGAAAGGGTGGGGGTTATTGTGAATAGCTCTAGAGTCAGGGATGAAAACTATGAGAAGGCAGACTTTGATTTGAGATAAGAAAGAATGATCTTACGAACTAGATTCTGTCCCAGCAATGTAAGAGGCTGCCTTACGGTGTCCTGGGACATCCATGAGGCAGCCCCTTAGTTGCTACACAGCCTTCCACCCAGTATCTGCAGAGGGATTCTAGCGCTGAGTCAGAGATGGCCAGGTGACCACTGATGGTGCTTGTATTCCCTTAGGGATCGAATTTAAATGAGTGAAAATGAACACTTAGCTTTTGCCTTCTTACATGTTTTGTCTTAAGATCAGAGTACTAACTTGTATCTTTTTTCTTTTTTTTTTTTAATTAGGAAACGATGGCATCTCTTTCCTCCTGAAGATACTCCTTTCCTTTATCCAACTAGAATCCCTTATGAAGAATCTAGTGTGTTCAGTAAAATCAATGTTGTCAATCCTGATTTAAAGCGTTTTCCTCAGTTCCAGAAAGCTCAAAGACATATGGTTACACTGAGCCCAGGACAGGTAATAAGGCTTTAAAACTTTAATGACCTGCCAGGGGACACCACAGCTGTAACTCTCTCAAGTCCTTATGCTGTGTGCTTCCCTTCCCCGCGCAGTACAAATGAGAATGGCTTCCTTCCCTCTGCTCTGCTGTTGGAAGGTAGCCGCCCCAGCTGTAGGCTTCAGACAGGTACACCTCTGCTTCACAGGTCCTGGAAAGGAAATGGCAAGAGGGAACACAGCTCCTCCTATTGGTAAAGAGGAGAATGGACTTTGGAGGAAGACAGTCTACAGAGTCATTTTCATTTAGGTCAGGAGAAAATGTTCAAGGCATGGGTACTTGAGCATCTCTGGAACATTTAATCACAGTTAATATCTGTTCAATTATGATAGAACTGAACCCAGGCACATAAACACAGGTCGGAATGCATCCAGGTGTGAGCCAACAGGGGCAGAAGGAACTGAGAATGTTTGCTTTTAAGCAAGAATGGATGTTGTTTTCATAAATTACTAACTCTGAAACATTTCCAAAGGTATTATACATAGTGCTGCTTCCCAGTGAGGAAAATTTCCTTTTCAACATTGGCGCTTGCTGTCTGATATTTCATTAATAATTTGAAAGGTTTTCTTAGTCACTTAAAGAGACTTTATTCTCTTGATTATCCCTCTCCCTTCCATTGTACCCGTCTCACTCACTCTTTTCCTGCTTCCTTCACTCAAGCATTATCAACTCAAACAATTTCACTTCACTGAGTTGCCTCAACCTGTTAGTCACTCTGCATTCACCTCTCCCCACAGCCCCTGACAGCAACTAATCTTTTTCTATCTCTGTAGATTTGCCCATTGTGGACATTTCACGTGGTGCAATATTATGATACAGGGCCTTATGTGTCTGACTTCTTTCACACAGCATAATGTATTTAAGGGTCATCCACATTGTAAAATGTTACTAGCACTTCATTTCTTTTTTATGGCTTAATAATATTCCATTGTGTGGCCACATAACATTTTGTTTGTCCATTCATCAGTTGATGGACATTTGGGTTGTTTCTGCTTTGTTGACTATTATAAGTAATGCTGCTTTGAACATTCATGTACAAGTTTTGTGTGTACATATGTCTTCATATGTACACATATGTTTTCAATACTCTTGGGTATACCTAGGAGTAGAATTGCTGGGTTACATGGTAACCCTCTGTTTAACTTTTTGAGGAGTTGTCAAACTGTTTTCCATAGCAACTGTACTATTTTACATCCCCACCAGCATTGTATGAGGGTTCCAGTTTCTTCACATCTTTCCCAACACTTGTTTTTCTTTTTTATCATTATTTTTACAGCCATTCCAGAGAGTGTGAAGTGGTTGCCAATCATTTTCTCTTCTGTCTTTAATAGCCAAATTTGAATGACTGGTTTTGTTCATTGTATCAGTTTTCCTTACCTCCTGTCCGTTCTTTAATCCACTCAAACCCAGCTCTTTCTCTCACCACTTTACTGAAACTTTACTCTGATAGGACATGCATAACCTACTTATGACTGTCAAGTGGACTTTCATAGTTTCCAGTTTTCCTGAAAGGATCTTTCTATTTCCCAGTCCTGCCTTGTTCATAGCAAATACCAGTAGTTTCCTAAATCTGAAGCCCAAAAGCTTCATATCATCTCCATCTGCTCTGCTCTCAATAGGAAATCTCATACTGAGTCTGGATAGATGCCATCCTTCTTGACTCTGCCCATTGCTTTTGTTTATTATACCTTCCTATTTATATTTTAACATTTAATAAGTGGGCCTTTGCAAATATCTGCTGTCCTTCTCAGACTCTCTCGATACCACTATTTTAACCATCCCCCTACTTAGAATTTCTCAGTGACTCCTAATGCCTACCAGATAAAATCTAAATTCTTATTTTGAAGTCCACTGTCCCTAAACTAATTCCCCTACCTTATCTCCCATTATTCCCTCTGTGATAGTAAGACTGACCTACTTGCTATCCTCTATAGTCCTACCTCCCTCTCCTGTACCTCTTATCCTTCCTGGCATGTCTTCATTCTTTTCTCAGTCTGAATTCTCTCCTAGCCCGGGTTCAAATCACACTTCCTCCATCCATGTTGCCCCTGACCTCCCTAGTTCATGCCTGTTTCACCTACCTCTGAAATTCTCAAACATCATTTTCTTCTAATTTACCACTTCTATAATGCCACCTTTCTTTACTTTATCTTCTCATTGGCTAGATTTCGAACTGTGAGAATACAGAAGCCATGTCCTATGTGTTTTACCTATGCCCTTTCTCAGAATGCATGCAACTATTTTGTGATGGAAAGGAGGAAAAATTAGAATCTCAGAATCATGTACTAAGATTTAGGCGCAGATGAAGAAGGCCCAGGATTAAAGAGAATAGAGATGCTGGCAGTATCCTTTGTAGAACATGTGAACTTGTCAATAAAAAAGGAGTAAAAGGAAAAAAGGATTGCGGGGTTTTTTTCCTTCACTTTTCTCCAGCAATATTATTGTGAATTCATTTGTATTCCTTTTTTTCCTAGCAGCCTCAATTAGGGTCTGAGTCTGACATAAAAATGAAATGTCCTGTTCTTGTGCTAACCATTCTTTGTTTGGTTTTCAGGTTCTGTTTGTTCCCAGACACTGGTGGCATTATGTAGAATCCATTGATCCTGTCACTGTCAGTATAAACTCATGGATTGAACTGGTACTTTTTCATTTCATTTTGTTTTTTTAAGTAAGTGCAGATCATGCTTTTAAAAGATGTATAAGGTCTGGCTGTACAACTTGGTAATTAATTTTTTTAACCAATGCTTCAGTATTTTTTTGTTGCAGTGCACTATAACTTATGCATTCTGTCCTCTGTTAATGGATGTTTAGGTTGGAAATTGGAATTTTAGTGGTGTGCCACTCTCTTTCTTTTAAGTACACAGAATGGGCCTGATGCTGGCAGGCAGGGTCCTTTCCCTTGACCATGTTGTTAGGAAAATTGTGTTGGGTCTGGCCAGATTTGCCGATATGTGTCCCTTGTTGCCACTCGTCTTCCATACTGTCTGGGCTGGAAATACCTGCTTCTTTTTTTTTTTTTTTTTTTTTTTTTTTTTTTGAGACGGAGTCTCACTCTGTCGCCCAGGCTGGAGTGCAATGGCCGGATCTCAGCTCACTGCAAGCTCCGCCTCCTGGGTTCACGCCATTCTCCTGCCTCAGCCTCCCGAGTAGCTGGAACTACAGGTGCCTGCCACCTCGCCCGGCTAGTTTTTTGTATTTTTTAGTAGAGACGGGGTTTCACCGTGTTAGCCAGGATGGTCTCAATCTCCTGACCTCGTGATCCGCCCGTCTTGGCCTCCCAAAGTGCTGGGATTACAGGCTTGAGCCACCGCGCCCGGCCAATACCTGCTTCTTGGTTCAAGGTCATTACTAATTGCAGAATTCTGTCTTGGCTTCTATGTATTCTCAAAGCGGAGTCTTTCTTTCAGTGCTAGGTTTTTATCATTTCATTTCTGCCAGAGGCCTTTCCTTCCTATGTGTTATGCTTAATCCTGGTTGCCTGCTCTGTTTGACAATTAGAATAGCTGCTTGTTATGCTCAAGTCTGTCTCTTCAACTGGGGCCATAATTGCAACTGGCTCTTTTTAACCAGAGGCCCTGACTGCATCTCTGCTCTCCTTGACCTGAAGCCTGGATTGCATCTCTCTGCTCTGTTTGACAGCCGCATCCTCTCCCTAGTCTAGTTTTTCCTATCCTTTGGTAATAGGAATGGCTTTGGAATCAGTGGAACAGAAGGAATATTGTAACAAAGCTATATTGTGTGGGCTTAGACAAGAGTTGTAGCCCTTGAGGCTTAGGTGAGAGGTATGGCAGGAGATCAGTAACATAACAGAAATTTTGCCTATAGCATGCTGAACTGGAGTTGCAGCAGATGTTAAGGTAGAATCCATGGGGAACTTCCACTCCCAATGCCAAAGTCATATCTACAATAGCCCTGACAGGTGCTTCACCTCCCAAGGAAGTTCACTTGTTAAAGAATAGAGCTGTCGTCTTTTTAAAATATTTGAAAATACCTCCAAGTGTTTCCATAATCTTTTCTTCTTCCATGCTCAAAAACTCTTACTGTCTTTAATGGGGTGTTTTTATGTGACTTTTTCCTTTTTCCAGACTTTTTACCATTCTGGCCACAGGCTTTGGAATCAGGCAACTTTAAGATACAAGTTACCTTTGTTAGCTGTCTAACATAGATAGTTACTTAATCTCTTCAAGCCTCCATTTTCTTGTAAAATGAGGATTATAATTGAACCCACCTCAGTAGAGTGGTCGTGAGGTTAAATTGGAGAACACATTGTAAAAACATCTAATATAGTGCATGGCATATGGGAGGTATTTAAAAAGTAGAAATTGCTATGAGGAGGAGGGAGAGTTATTATGTCTAGAATAGTTCTCTTAATATATAGTGCCTAAAACTGAATATCAGTGGGCCTTATTTGGTAGAGTATAAGATTTCTACCCCACATGATCTCCATCCTAAATATTTCCAGTGCTGCTTGTAATATTGGGTTAGTTTTTTTAGTAATCTCATTTCACTTTAGTTTCATATTCAACTCTAAAATGTTGGTGCTTTTTTTCAGATGATCTGCTGTCAGGCAGGTTGAATCCTATCCTGTACCTATGAAGCTGATTTTAATTCTAAATCCAGTATTTCACAGTCATCCCTGTTAATTTTCATCATGTTGGTTTGGTTGAGCATTCCAGCTTGACAAGATAATTTTAAATTTGGGTCTTATCTGTCCTTTTAGTGAAACTTCAAGCTGGCCTGTGCCCTTTTGATGTGTCCCCATTAATTAGATTTTGAGTGTATCCTGGCTTTCTGGCACAGGAAGATATCCCAGGATACCCTTTTTTCTTTAGTGCCCCAAACTTGGAAGTCTATAATTTCTCCAGGTAGCCACAGTTCTTTTTGTAGGGAATGGCCTTTAGAAACTGAGATCTCAGCTCTAAAGCTGTTCATTGCTCCTGGGTGTCACTGTTTCTAGGCT